TCAGTTAAGATTCGATTAATCGAAATCAAAAATCGAATCGTCAAATCGAATCTTAGAAACGATTAATCGAAACTTTACTTTAATCGATTCTCAAGATTCGATTTTCGATTGAATCGATTCCAATCCCTACTTTAAACTCCGTTTATAACCCATAAACATCAAAGAACTGCTATTAAACTATTAACAATATTTTAGACTAACTTCACGGGTAATCTCTGATAACCCGTGAAGTTATGGTATAATTATTCGGCCCCCTGATTATTATAAATATATTTCTTCTTTACTTTCATTTTTCTTTTACAATATTTATCTTTAATGTTGTATAAAACACACAGGCGCAAATGTTTACTAAATGAGCGAAGCAATCCAACAATAAACAAATTAATGAATACTTTAATAAATAATTCAAAGTTATACGTTTATAAAGTCTTTAGACGCGCTATGCACATTTAATTATAAATATATATATAAATATTAAATCTATTTCATTCATTATACTGCTTTTATATACATATAATAATTTCTTTTAAAATAATAGTAAATATGATAATATAATACTTTTTAAGTAAATATTATATTATTAATAGCTTAAATTGTATATCACGATCATAATTTTGAATAAACACTCCGTGACAATTTAATTCACGGCCAAAGTATGATAATCATATACGTCGGTGTAATTATTTTAATTCTAACACGCAGTGTTCGGTTGCGTTAAAAAACTGTGGTATCAATGGTGATATAGCAAGGAAAGATCATTGAGATAAAGTCTATAAAAGAAAAGCCTGAAGACTGTAGCAGAGGATTATCAGAGAAGTCCATTAAAAATAGATTTGGTTTTAATTTTTACATAGTTAAAAATCTTCAAATATCAAACAGCAAAAAACTTCGTTTAAATTCAGAACTGAATTCGAAGCAAAGGCCATCATGTTTGAGAAATATTCATCGATTACATTTGAGGATTTTAATATGTTTTAGGAAGCCGATGAATTCTTGGAAATTAATTTATTTGCTGAAAAAAAAATCTGTACCCTTTCACGTGTGATAGAATGTTATATCAAAAAATAATCCCCCCCCCCCCCCAGTATTTTTCAAGAATAAAGGCCGTTATATAATACATTTTAGAAAAAAATAAAGCTTGTTTTTTACATATATTTCTCAGGCTAATTTTTTGTATCACAAAAAAAAGATTTGATTTAATTAGTAATTTTGATTTCTTTATAATTTGTATAATAATTTGTATTTTTGTTTCAAGTTTTTTTTTATGATTTAAGAGCTCAATTTATTTATAAATTAAACCATCAAAGCTGGAACGCAATAATCAAAAAAAAATACTCTAGATTTGGTTTATTATTAAATTATTTGGGAAAGGTTATCAGTTATCGTTATGAGTTGATTTATATAGAAGACAAATCATATTGGTTAGTCTAGTTCATGATAAATTTAGGAAGCAAAACTCGCTACTAAATTTGGATTCTTTATTTTAATTTCTTCGATTCCTTCTGATAATTCCTTGTCTATTTCTTGATTGTATATTGTATTCGAGATTCTATTAAATATTAAAAAAAAAAAAATTGCAGAGTAATTAAAGAAATTATTTTACTAAATACCTTTTTTATTTTAAGTCACAAAGGAACGCATGCCCTCATAATAATTTTTTTTTTATCAAGGCCAACGACATTAAAGATAATAATTACATGAACTCTTCGACACGAAAAGTAGAATAATAATAAAAAAAAACCCCATAAATTTGATGTAAATTGTCCGGGTACTACGCACTAAATATTTTTTTTTATGGTATTATACTATAGGTGATATTATACTTCATTAAAAAAGGTTGCGAATATCCGCAGTAATGACTACGATTTTATTTTCTCGACCAAATTTATTAATCGAAAGCTTCTTATTCTTTATATTCATTTATGTCATCACTACCACTATTCGTTACTATCGCTGCAAGGGGTAAGCAATTCAATTCCGATCGATATAACTATAGATCGGTCACTTTCTTATTTTAGCCAATCAGAAAATGAAAAAAAAATTTATATTCTGTATAAATTGGCTAATATTTTTTTCTTTTCCTTTTTTTTTTTTTAAGATTAACATTTAATCCTACCGCTTTATTTTTCCAATTTTCTTTATAATATCAATTTTTTATTACACAAATTTCATAACATGGGAGGGTTGCTATTAAAATTCATATGATTTACTATGTCTCGTAACCTGATTTTAATAGCAAACGACATACTGTCTAACAGCCACTTAAAAGCAAAGAAAAACACGCCCAAAGAGCGATAATTAATCGAGAAAAAATGAAGAAAGAGAAAAGATACAGAAGAAATATATGCCGCACTTCCAAGAAATTAGAAGAGTCTGAAATCACTCAAATGAAAATGGCAGAAATGGTTGCTGATAAAAGCGCCGATGTAAGACAACACAATAAAAAATTACGAGAAGATATTGAAGGTTGGGAAAACATCCTAATCCGTTAAAATATCTCATCCCAATTTTAATTTTAATTCTCATAATTTGGTGATGGATTTCCCAATGTAACTAATGTTTAATTATAAGTTTATAATAAAAATTTATTACAATTATATCTAATAAATTTTTTTTTTTTTAAGGGTTACTTTAATGAAAATTAAGGCATTATTATATTAGGTGAATGCTACGAAAAGGGACCAACTTTTTTTAAAATAATTAAAGTTCTGGATCAAACAAATAAAGTTACATCTAATTCACTTAGGAATAAATTACTTTGAAAAAATTTTCAATTAGTCCCTTTTTGCAGCACTCACTCCACATTCTACAACCCTTTATTTTTTTCTTCCACTTTCCGTTTTTTTAAGAAATTCATTTTATGTATGTACCATTTTTTAATTTTTTTTATACTTGTTTACTTTGTAATTATTTTTAAAAAAAAACAGATTTTTACAGTATTTGATAAAATTTCTTTTTTGTTAACGCTTTTAATTTTATTTTTAATATAAAAGTTTTTATTGTTGAAAAAATTATCATTCAAAATATTCCCATTTGCCAAACTTACGAAAATATATAGTAAGTTAAATTACATACAATTATTGCATCGATAAATTTCTGTAAATAAGCATCACGTACGAATGGTATATAATTATGAGAATGGTTAGGGAAATATATCCTGAATAGTTTTGAAATACGTATTAGGTTCACTTCCACCACATTCTCTGGTCCTCGTCTGAAATTTTTTTATAACAAATCAGGGATATTGTTGTAACTCTCAATGAAGACGTTAGTTGTTTGTTCCATGTTTCCTGCTTCGGCAAAAGCGTCGGAAAAGTTGTTCATTGCGTTGCTAACCATATATATCCAGCCCGAAAGTGTCTAATAACATTATCTGAAAATGATTATCCTGTGCTGTAAGGTTGCCAGATGTTTTGATAGTAGAAATTAGTTTTGATGATAAAACTATTTATTACAACTTTTTGGAAATCCGGAGAAATTCTTCTAAATTTAGAATAACAAATCTCTGTCTTTGAAGAATTCTCTAAGTCCAACGTTAAATTTAGCAAATTTAGTTAAATTTAAAAATAGCTTAACTTTTGACTTATAAAAAACCACCCTCTCTAATCAACACCCTTCCGTATGCACCTACTTGACCCCAAAGTCGAACTCTGGTCCACTTGGTCTATACGAGAAAAAAAACAAAAACAATAAAATAATAAAACAAATAAATCTATACCGACTTTACCCACTTCTTCCATTTCCCCACCAGTTATGTCTTATAAAATAAAGAATATTACGTTTTGTCTTTTAATTTTATATTAAGAGGAGAATATTAAAAATTTATGAAATAATATTGTATAACTTTCATAATGAAAAGGATTGTCTTTATTTTTTTATTCTTTATTTATTATTTATCGTTATATTAAAATCAAGCATGTCACTATTATAACTCCTCCTTTAAAACTTGATATACCTCATAATCTTCTATAGAAAAATTATCATTTGTATTTCTTATCTTTTTTTCATAACTGCTTAGTTTACAATAGTTATAATTAAATGAGTTTAGTGAATTTTCACGTTCATTCAATTGTTGTGGGACTTTTTCGATCAAGCTGGTTTTAGTTTGTCGTACATCTTTATTCCATCTATTAATGGTATCAGTTCGTTGTACATTCCAGCTATTAATGTTATCAGTTTGTTGTACATTCCAGCTATTACTATTATATTCATCCCAGCTACCCCAGCAGCTGGTTTTAGTAGGTATTTCTGATGACATATATGATATTCGAAGATCTTCACCAAATGAAGGGCCATCATTCTTTAAACATAATATTGGATTACTCATGTATTTTACATGACTTACGATTAAATCTTTAAGGTTATCCTTACTCTTAAAAGAAAATATAAAACTATCTTTGGTTAACACATTCTTATTGGAATTATTCCATATTAAAGGATTATATCCACCAAGGATTTCATTTGTTTTTTTCACTTTGATGAATGTAACGGTATAAGGAATATTATCACATAATTGATGAAACTTATTGGGAGTGAAACCATCTCTGCTTCCTCTTAATAATAATTTAAATTTATATGGTAAATGCAACCTTGCATAAGTAAATTCACTTTTAATAGATAATTTATCGATCCATCTTGAAATTAGTGAAATAACCTTTAAATCAACAATTTTTGAATCAATTATTCCATCATCCTTTCTATTTCTCGGTAACAAAATGTTAATATTTGGTTCAATATTAGAAATCAAATAAGATTTTAATAATTCTTCATAAAGTTGGGGATTTAAAAGCTTTTTATAAGGATGAACTTTGACAAAGAAATCTTCAGAAGATAAACTAAAAAATCTAATCAAGGGTAAACAACGTTGTAAGGTATTTGCCATCATTTTGAAATCATCATCTGACCAGGTTATAGGATCAGAAATGAGAGTAGGATTCTTTTCCAAGCCCCATTTTAATACGTATTCCCAAACTTCAACTTCTTTCATTTGTAATTCATCTCTTTTGATTAATGAAATTAAAGATTTTTCAGGAAGCGATGTAAAATCCAATGATTGAAATACTTTCTCAGGTGTTTTTGCCATCAAATCGGTACAAAACTCTTGAAGTTTCAATAAAGAATTCAATTGAAAACTTGTTCTATGAGTGAGCTCAAAATGTTGTTCCATCCATTCAGCTTTCTTTTCAATTAAATAATTCTGTAAATAATCAACTAGCTCTTGAAGAAGAAGCTCTTCGGCAGCAGCCAATACTTTTAAAGTATCCGAAGTATCTTGTTCATTTAATGAAATAATTCCACCATAAATGTACCTAACATCATAAAAAGTAAATGAATGATTAAAAGATGACGAAAGGTGACAAGATGCTTAGCTTAGGCATTTACTTACTTCAAAATAATTTGAAAAGTCTCTGGTGAAACATTTGGCAACTTGATATGAATTAAAGTTTCATTATTTTTTTTATTGGAAGATAACATTCGTCGCAAAAATGGAGAACGGTAACACAATATTATCATATGCGCGCGAAATATTTTCACATTTGGATCTTTACCAACTTCAATTGTAATATCATAATATTCATCATCATCTAATATTTCAATATAATTTTGGCTTAATTTGGAAAAAAATTGTGCCAACATTTTTTTTAAAACAAAATTGAATCACAAAAAAAAAAAATAAAAAAAATAAAAAAAAAAAATTAGGAATTTGCTTTTAAATAATTCCTAGTTTGGTAATGTTGCTGTTGAACATAGGTCAGCAGATCTTATGTCGGCCAAAAAAGAACAAGTTCAAATGTGTGGCAATCTATTCAATAAATCATCAATTTTTTATCTGAGGAAATTTAGGAAATTTAAAATAAATTTCGAATTTAAAAATGAAATAATCTTTCGCTCTTGTTAAGAAATCAAACTTTTTTTCATATTTACTAATACTGATTCACCAAATTACCTCTACGTAAAATTTATTTTGCACTGTTTGTCAATCTCTCATATTAAATAGAGATAAGAGAAGATAAGAGAAGAAAGTAATTTTGAGACCATGTATTATATATTCTCATATTTCCTTTTTTCTAGCAAACCTCTCATATTGAACGGTGTTGGTATGCCTAGAAATTACTATTGTTGCTTATTACTTTTGATTTGATTCTTTGCGTATATTTATAATTTATTTATCTATTATCTAATTACTGTACGATTTGGCATTTTGGGTTAAATGTTATTCTGAAATTAAAGGATATAATATACGAGCATGATTTTCTATTTTGTAATCTTTTCTTATTTTGCAGCAATAATTCAAAAATATTTTCCTTTGTCATTTGTGAAATTAGAAGTTCTTTCAAGTACAGGTTATTCGTAATTTATTTTATTGAAATGAAGAGTAGATAATTCTTTATTCTATTATAGATAAATTATTTACATTTGCAGATGGTAACAAATATGATTTTGAATGTAAATTTTATTTTGTTCAAAATTGGCACAAATAAAATTAGCAATGCCCAATGAAAAATTTAAAGGGACTTGAAATTAATTTAGTGATAAATTACGCTTCATTTTTTAACGGTTTCTATGGGGGTGGTGCACTCATAGAGGATCGTACATATAAAAAATAAATATATATATATACAATATGTGACACACAAAATATTGAATTTATTATATATTAATACAAGAGAACTAATTTTATTAGAATTTCGCTATAGTACGTGATATAGAAAATAAAATTTTCTTTCGTCAGTTTTTTTAATGAAAGTGGAAAAAGATGTATTAGAGATATGCATTATTAATGTACAAAAGTTTTAATTGATATCACAATGATGTCAATTCATCGCCCTAAACTATATTAATTCTCTTTAATTATTTTTTTAATTGTTGTATTGATTACTAACATAGGGATATTTATATGTAAACTTCCGGTAAAAGTCAAAGTTGGAAATATTTAAGATTTTTGTTTTGTTTCACTGCGCCGGTAAACAGGTTGTACAACCGCAAAATTTTAACACAAATAGAAATATAATTAACTGAATATCGTCGAATTGAATAAATAAGTCGTCTATATTTTACATTGATATTAAGCTTAACGAAAAAAGGTCGCAAGGAATAAAAAAAAAATGAAATATTTTTACGTGGTTTTTGCTATCTCGTGCTCATTATTATTAATCACCAATACGTATGCATATCAATATGACTTGGTTGAACCTATTGACAAACCTTCTGTGGAAAATTACGAAACCAAAGAATTAAGTTTCTTAACCTTTGGTGATTGGGGTTCGGGGGAGTTGAATTGGGACAGAAGATAGGAAATCAAACTAAAGTTGCCAAAGCAATGACAAAGTGGAGTGGACAATATAATAGTAATTTTGTTTTGAGCGTTGGTGGTAAGTATTATTTATGGATATTTTGATTGATTGGTTGGTCATACCATACATTATTATTTTTATTTTTCAGATAACTTTTATATTAACTTTGATGGAGATGATGAAGGAGTTTCAAGTGTATATGATGCAAAATGGGATAAAGTTTGGAAGAATGCTTATAAAGGCAGATTATCCAAGATTCCTTGGTACATTGTAGCAGGAAATCATGATTGGTAAGTACGTATTGAAGATCAAACTCAATTAAATAAAATTAACGAAAATAAATTATTTAGGTACGGCAATATTACAGCACAAATTGATTATAGCTTGAATTATGACTCTCGCTATTTCTTCCCATCTACATATTTTGTTCGTGAATCATACTTTGGTCCAAATAAAACAAAAGTTGCATGGATCCACATCGACACAAATATCTTCTATTATGATTTTGCAACTCGTGAAGAAACTGAACATTTGGGTTTGAAATATAACTTTGAAAAATTTGGATGGCAAAGTTTAAAAGCAATTGAAGATAAATTCAAATGGATTGAAGATCGATTGAACAATAGAGCTCAAAATGGATTTTCGTTGTCTGTAGGTAATAACTTGTTTCAATTTTTCTTTCGCATTAAATTGTACGATTAAATTAATTTTATTTATTTGGTTCCAGGGCATCAACCTCTTATTGGCAAATATGCGCAGACATTTCAAATGGGAAGGTTGAGACCACTTTTTGAAAAATATCGTGTGGCAGCATATTTTTCAGGACATGAACATGTTTTAGAATTGGAAACATCAAAGATTGGTCAATCCGTTACGTATTTCATTTCAGGGGCCTGTAGTAAAGCTCATGGAAAATGTGAAGGATTCGATTGGGGTATGCCTGTAGGTGCCTTGGGTTTCTTACATACCATAATAAGCAAAGATGAAATGTATTATGAATTTGTTGAGTCTTCAACCCTTGAGCCCAAAATGGTTTATCAGGGGAAAGTTTTACCAATATAAATAATACATCTTGGGTATCACTGCTAAGACAGTATGTAATTTTATAATGGTTAGATGCTTTAAATACTTAATAAAATCATTTGAATTTAGTCGTTATAAATCTGAGTATTACTATATATGGCTAACGTAACAATATGAAATAGGTTTTTTATGCCTCATTTAACACTATTTTAACTATGAGAGATGTAGTTGTGCTTTGTAAATAATTCTACTAAACTTTTTTTTCATGTCGAAACATCTAACCAGCTAATAACATTTAAACCGATGAATGATTGATTTAACCGCAGTTAAAATGTTTTTTATAATTAATTGTAATAATAAAATTCTATAAAATTTCATTATTTCATTTGCAAATAACATTTAACTGCTAAATTTGATCCAAGACGTGTACAGTTACAAATTAGTTTAACTCATCACTAAATTGACTCTCGCAACACGTGATGTTGGAATTGTCTTATACATTATGCTTTTACTTTTTTCTCGTTGCATCATTCCTAAATTACAGTAATATAGATAGGTTAACAAAATATTATCCAAAAATTCACGACGAACTTAATGCAGCACCCATTATATCTTAATTCTTTAAGAATACGTAATCCCGACAATATTTTTTATTTTCACTAAAATTGTGTATCCTAATGATTATTAAGGAATTAAAGCGCTACAATTAATAAGTCGTCATTGGATATTCGTCAATTTAAAACGAGGATACGTTGAGATGCATATATCTCAGGAGGTTAGTGATTTCTTGAACAAAAAAAAAAAGATTTGAATTGGTTGTATTTAAATAGTTTACAAATATCTTTTTTTATTTATGTGGGATTATAACAAGAGTTTGTCCCGAAAAATATCAAGGCGATTGTAAATTTCTAATCCATCGAAAAATTCTTCGAAATTCCTATATTTTGGAAAACATTATGATACTAAATAAGCGAACAAATTTTCGAAAAAAAATATATTAGCTAACAATTTATTCAAAGAAAAAGGAAATTTATAGGAAAGGGGATGAATATAATTCCAATATTTGGTTGCCGTTAAACTAATAAAACACATGTTCTCGAAAGAAAATATTAATGTAGAACTGGGTAAACGATAAAATAAACTTATAAGATGTTAATTACATATATGTTGTTTTGATTTCCAGAATTTCAAAGCAATGCTAAATTTTATTACAAGGATTTATTTATCCTTTTTTAACGAATTCTTTTTCATGATCAAATTTGTTTTAATTAAACAAAAGGTATTAATGATTTTAAATATTATAATCATGTGATTTCTCGTGTATTTTTCAAAATTAAGTATTTTTTTTTTTAGAAAATGCATACTGTAATCACATGAATATTAAAAATAAGACAAGTTTAAATGATGTGAAAACAGAAATTAGAATGGTATGAATAATGGAAAATGGAAATTTTGAACAATTGTAATTTATTCTAATGTGAAGCTGGAGCAACCAAACAAATATTATTGGTCGTATTTGGATATGACGAAAAATTAAATTTAAATTTGCTGTCTTTTACTTCAAAAGGATTCACCTTATTTTGAAAACGTCGTTTATATATAATTTTTTGCTTTATCGTGGTTTACGCGTGTGTATGTGAATATAACTAATTTCATTTTTTTAAAAAAAACAAATTTAGCGAAGTATCTCTCGAATAATTCATTGTACACCAGTTTATGATATGGGGTGTATTCACAAATTCAATTGGATTGGAAAAATCACAAAATTCAATTAGAGACGATCCAATTGATTGAATTAGATTTGATTTTCCTATTAAATTTCCAATCCAAGGTATACCCATGATCGATAACACCTTACACCATATACCACCACGGCAACCAATTTCGCTTCGAAATTTTTTTTTTAATGCATTTAAATGGTATCTTCTTGCTGCAAAGCAAGGAATCCATGGTGCGCAATGTTCTTTGGGAAATTGCTACCAAACCGGAATGGGAGTAGATAAAAATGAAAATTTTAATTTTTTATAAAATTTTTTTCTTTAACAATAATAATGGAAACTCCTGGTCCTTCTAACGAAAAAGAGCCCTTTGCTAAAATAAACAAGACCAGGATAAATAAAAAAAGTCTTGCAATTGGAATGAGGATGCTATAAAATTATTACTTGCATTTTTGATAGAACGAAAAGAGGAAGTGAATAATTTAAGTATAAAATGCGGTGGCGGGGGTAATACAAGAGCAAAACTTTGGCAAGACGCGTCTGCTATATCTTTTAATGACAATTTTAAATATTCTGCTGAACAATGTGCAAATAAATGGAAAAACATTAAAAAGAATTACAAGGTGATTTTTTGTATTTATTAATTTAATAACTCTTTTTAATAAAAAATTTTTTTATGATGATATGGATCACAATAAACAAGTGGTAATAATCCAGTTGAAGTTCGATATAAGTCGGAAGTAGAAGAAATACTTGATGGGAATCGTCCAAGTTTAACTCCAAAAGTGTTAGATAGTAGTTTGAATATTGGCGACCTTGATAATCTTTTTTATGAAATTACAGGGTGAACTAAACAAAGAGAAAGAATGAATCTAAATTTAATCAAGAAGAAAAACCACAAAAAGCTCATAGGTCTGAAGTTTGAAAAGTCAAGAATTTGCTAGATGATTTAATGTATCAAAGGATGGAAGAGCAAGAATACAAAAGGGAAGAGCGTAAAAGAAGATAGATAGAAAGCAAGCAAAGAGAAGAGCAAAGGCAAAGGGAATTTAATTTACTTTACACTCTTTAAATAATATAGCGTTACCTAAGACTAATCATGGTATTAAAATTAAAAATTATTTATAATTATAATTTATATTCTTATTTACTTATTCAATTAATTATTTGTAGTTCCTTTTTATTATCAATCTACTCCATTTGATTTGCAAAATAATCCTTCAGAAATTAATGCACACAAACGCGTATGCAAATTAACAATATTTTTTCCTAATAATAATAATACTTCGCAAATTAAAGGCTCTTTTCCTCCACAATTTAATGAAGATTAATATATTGTAAAATATAATAAAGAATTCAAAAGATGTTTCTTCAGAAGATGAATCGGATTGGTCCAAAAAAATTAAATAAATGTTTGAAAAAATTATAATAAGTCTTTGGTATTCATATTTAATTTTTTGAATAGCGCTAAACCATTTTTTTACTGATTTGATACAAAAATATATTATCCAATCCACTTATTTGTGAATATGGATTGGATTATAAAATAATCCAACCCAATCCAATAAAATATGCAAATCGAATAATCCAATTTGATTGAATTTGTGAATACACATACAGTATATGAAAAGAGAACTATGATCTTCATAAATATCAGATTTCTATGTTATTGATATATTATATGGTTTAAATCTGGTAAAAATCGTAAAGAATATATTCAATAGATTCGAAAATGCTATTGAAGGTTTACTGACATTATTAGCCGGAAGGCTGGAAATAGAACTTAAACGATATAATTCAGTCCGTCGAATTAATCACAATAACTTTATCACAATCACGCCTGTATGAAGACACGGCAAAAGGT